CTGGACCACGTCTCTTATAAAACCTACTGTCAGCCCACTAGCTCATATCGCCGCCGCGTCTATCCTGTTTATATATTTAATACCAAGTCTATGACTTGTCATACCATAGTCTCTTGTGCGCCAACCAACAAACGTTGTGGTTCAACATTGAACCTAGTCAAAGCAAGCAGTACCACAACTTATAAGGAAAGTTACGAGACTGAGAGGCGTAAGCTATTTAAGTTCATAGAACTCAAGTCTAGATTAAGGAAGAAAGTAGGCCATGTTCTCACTTTGGAGGATTTTCAAAAACTTCAGAGCATGACCGACCAGAAGTCACAAAGGGTTAGAGGTCTGATAAATAGGCGGCATGACAAGAAATTGCTTAGCTATGGAATAATAATAAGAGCAAGACCAAGCCAACCCGGGCAAATTTTGATGATTCTTTATTGAAGGCATCAACTGCTATAGACGACGATAGAACAAAGGTAATAAACCTATCTTCAATCACTCTGGATTCTGAAACTACGGATATCTTAGAGAAAGGGTTGCATTTTTCTCTAGGTAATGAAGGAAACATTCTTAGTGATATTCTGGTGGAAGTTATCAACATAACGGACCAATATCCAGAAGATAGAAGGCGGTAGATCGAACTAAAAATAATCCCATGTATCCTGATACATCAAGAACCGATACACAGGAGCAGATTAGCTAGTATACGGAAAAAAATTACCGAAGAATGATTAAATAGTCCTTCAGGCGGATAAAAGAGGAGCGACGGTTGTAATGGACAAGAAACAATACATGGAGAAAATAGATAGGATCCTAGGCGACCGGAAAACTTATCAAATACTAAGGATGGATCCAACCATGAAGATCTACGGGACACTGAAGAATATGCTCAAGGAAATGCATAATAATGGGGAAATTGACAGATATAGGATGAAATCTTTTTTTAAAAAATGACGCGAGACCACCGACAGCCTACGGAATACAGAAAATACAAAAGGAAGGAAATCCTCCAAGACTAATAGTCAACAACACGCATGGAGCAATACACAAACTAGCGAAATTCATTTGCTTGGAG